AGAGAGAGAGAGAGAGAGAGAGAGAGAGAGAGAGAGAGAGAGAGAGAGAGAGAGAGAGAGAGAGAGAGAGAGAGATTTCAGGCAGTGGCTATTTTGGGCGAGGGTGCGGCAACGTTTGAACTCGAAATGCTTGTGGGAGACTGTTGTTGGGCTTTCGACACATTTTCGAACGACCTCGAGTCCTTTTCTTTTGTCTTCTCCCGTCTTCTCTCTCTCTCTCTCTCTCTCTCTCTAGCGCGCGCACGCACGGGGCGCACGACCCCACTCATCCCTCTCCCGTCTCTCTCTCTCTATCTCTCTCTCTCTCGCGCGCGCGCGCGCACCCGCGCGCATGAGTCAACGACCTCGAGATCAAGGTTGGTGCTCTGCAGAACACCGACACGGGATTTGAGCAGCAGCTTACCGCCATTGCAGCACATTCCGGTCTTCACAGATTCGTCGAAGCAACTCACATTGCACTTGGACATGCACCTCGTGCCCGACATCAACGACAACGGTGCTTGTACCACCGCAGCCGCGCATACGTCGGTTGATCATCATGAAGAACGGGATCCTGCCACAAACGAGGGAGACATGGTTGCAGTTTCCCGGGAAGGTGGTTCGACACACAGAGGAAGGGGCAAAGGCAAGAAGAAGACGTCCACCTAATCATCATCGTCGTTCGGGACGGGGCAATACGCTCTAAGCCCTTTGTGACACTATGGCATTTCCGAGACCACATACAAGGTCCAGAATAAGTAACATTGTTGCTTGTGGTGCAATAGCGACGATCACAAGATCGTCGCATGCACTACTAAGGAGGCCAAGGACGCCAAGAAGAAGTCCCATTCGAGAAACCGAGCGCCGTTGGGAGTGGAACAGCTACAGTCTGGATGCCGCTGGAACCAGTTACCTCGCCAGCAGCCTCTCTTCGTTCCAAGGGACAGGCAGAAGTCGCCAGTCCCCTTCTTCCGAGGACTATGTTCCATTGTTGGGTTCTCACTCAAGCACAAGTATCCCTGCTATGTGTGGCCTCCTCTCCGTCCGTTAGCAGTTCATCTGCAAGGGATTCTGCACGCAAGTTTAAAGTGGAGGATTTTGACCCGTTGACGCCCGAGGATTTTTCATGGCTACCTCTCCTTACGGCGGGCTGCTTAAAGTGGAGGATTTTGACCCGTTGACGCCCGAGTACTTATCCTTCGAAGCACCACCAACTTCCTAGATGGATGACGAAGTCGCGATGGCCGATCTTCTCAATTACATTGCGAAGGCCGAACGCGAGTTTTGCACACAGTAGTACGACAATAACTACGTACCGCTTCTTTATGTCTGCATCCAAATTAAGCAAGCGTCCTGCGGCCCTTTGCTGGATAGCGCTCGCCTCCCAACTTCATTAGCCAGTTGTTCATCCAACGACCTGGTCTTACACCACAAGTGTGAAGGAAGCTTCATCCCACATGGTGTCTTGGAGTGGTCATTTCCCTAATACTCTGACAAACAGCGGGTCTCGCGTGACGGTCCCGCGTGAGACCCGGTTTGCTGGCGGGGCAGTCCCGGCGGTCCCACGTGGATGCTAGCAAGGCGATCTGTCGTTTCGTTGTTGCCGGGCCTTCCGCAGTTGTCGGGCCTATCGGCGATCTACGTAGTCAGACGGGGTTGAGGGGCGGGGGGGTTGTCGGTTTGGCCCGGGGGGGTTGTCGTTTCGGGCCCACATGTATCGGGACGGCATATCGGGGCGGGGGGTGTGTGTATTCACAGTTTCGTTTTATTCTTTCGGCCTTGCAAGCACCGGGACACAACATTGGGGCGGGGGGGAAGGATAGGGGTTGGCCGTCTGTGTTTCGTTTTGTTCTTTCGGCCCGGCAAGCACCGGGACGCGACATTGGGCCGGGGGGGGAAGGATGCGAGGGGTTGGCCGTTTCAGCGCGCCGTGCCCTTTGGATTGTGTGCGCGCAGCGGTTGGGTGGACCGCGGGCGGATCGGCCCCATAGCGTGCCGATAGCGTGGTGGGGCGAGAGAGAGAGAGAGAGAGAGAGAGAGAGAGAGG